GTAGTGATAATAATCCCGCAATGATAATAATCCAGTAGTAATAATAATCCAGTAGATATAATAATCCAGTAGTGATTATAATCCAGTAGATATAATAATCCAGTAGTGATAATAATCCAGTAGAGACAATAATCCAGCAGTGATAATAATCCAGTAGTGATAATAATCCAGTAGTAATAATAATCCAGTAGTAATAATAATCCAGCAATGATAATAATCCAGTAGTGATAATAATCCAGCAATGATAATAATCCAGTAGTAATAATAATCCAGTAGTAATAATAATCCAGCAATGATAATAATCCAGTAGTGATAACAATCCAGTAAAGATATTTTTACAACCCAGGTTTTCTAAGACTTGTTATCTTGGGTATAAGGGGAGCAGAAAAACTTTGATTTATATTATTATATTATTTTGCCAGCCTTGAAGGGGCAGTTAGTGTACAGCAGATGCCAACCTAGAGACAACATGTGATTTGATGAGAATTATCATGGGCTTGGCGTCTCTAGTTTTGAAAGTTCTCATTATCCATCCTATCATTTTTCTAGCGGATGTGGTCTTTGGAGGTAAGATCCTCTGACATTATCACTCCCAGGTCCTTCACATTAATTTTTCTCTCTCTTATGTGGTTAGAATTTATTATATACCCTGATACAGTTTTGATTTCGTTAAGTTTTCCATATCTGAGTCGTTGAAATTTCTCTTTATTGAACTTCATATTGTTTTCAGCAGCCCATTTAAAGATTTGTTTGATGTCCGGTGGCGGGTGTTACAGTGTGTTCCATGGAGGTTACTGTCACGGCAATTCGGGTGTTATCCGTAAAGGAAGACACGGAGCTATGGCTGTTTTAGAAAGACACGTAAGCAAACACTATAACATATTTATGGGCCAGTAGGCCTTCGACAGTGTTCCTCCATTCTTATGTTCTTATGACATTCCTCAGGTCACGTGCGTCACATCTCACTCTCCGCCTATATATAATGTTTTTTCTACCTCTGTATGTTAGAAGTGATCAAGGTCCCAGGACCGAAACGTTTTCTAATAAATATGTTATAGTGTTTGCTTACGTGTCTTTCTAAACCAACTTGTCGGTATTTATTACCAAGGTTTATACCAGCTATGGCTGTAGCTATGTCAGATATGAGTATAAGGAACAGGATGAGAGCGAGTACTGTGCCTTGTGGAACAGAGCTTTTCACTTTACTTTGTTTATTATTATTCTTTGTGTTCTGTTTGTTAGGAAGTTATTGATCCATCTACCAACTTTTCGTGCTATTCCTTTATCATGTATTTTGTGTGCTATTACACCATGGGTCACACTTGTCGAAAGTTTTCCAAAAGTCTGTGTATAATACATCTGCATTTTGTTTATCCTCTAAAGCATCCAGGACCTTGTCATAATCGTCCAGTAGCTGGGACAGGCAGTAGCAACCTGCTCTAAACCCATGTTGCCCTGGGTTATTTAACTGATGGGTATCTAAGTGGTTGTCTATTTTCCTTCTTGGCTTCAAAGGTTTTATTGATATGGGATGTTAGCACTATAGGTCTGTAGTTCTTTGCAATTGCTTTACTGCCACCTTTGTGGAGTGGGGCTATGTCTGTTGTTTTTAATGACAGGGATGACTCATGTGTCCATGTTCTCTCTCCACAGAATACTGAAGGCACGTCTCATGGGCTTCTTGCTGTTCTTGATGAACACGGAGTTCCGCGAGCCTGGGCCTGGGGAAGAGTGCATAGGCATGTCATTAATTGCCATTTCGAAATCTTGTAGTGCTTGGCTAATATCAGAGTTTTTTGGAATGACCCTAGTTTGAGTCTTGGTCTTAAAAAATAATTTAGATTGTCGACCCTTTCTTTGGCTAACAGCTCACTGAACACTGAGCCGTATTGCGACTTTACTATCTCGCTCATTTCTTTGTTGTCATCTGTGTAGGTCTCATCTCGTATGAGCAGGGTTCTAATACTGCATGTTATTTTCACCTTAGATTTGGCATAAGAGAAGAAGTATTTTGGGTTTCTTTCAATTTCATTTATGGCTTAAAGTTCTTCCTGAGATTCTTGCCTTCTGTAGGATTTCTTAGCTTAAGTTCGATAATTGCTATTTCTCTGACCAGTGTCTCCCTTCATATTTCAGGTATAATGGCCCCTCTCAGAAGCTCTGTGATTCTTCGTCTTCGCCTGTATAGGGAGCATCTCTCTAGTATACATCTTCTCTTGAGCAGACCTCAAGTGCTACAGAGTTAACTTTTTATGTAAAGGTTCGGATCCATGTTGTTTAGGGTATCTTCTCAACTTGTTTCATTTAGGACATGGTTGACTTGTTCCCACTGTATGTTTTTGATTTCGAAACTGAATTTTGTGAATGCACCCTCGTAACTGCCCAAACAAGTCTGCACCTCTATTATATTGTGATCTGAGTGTATTGTCATTGATACGGTTATATTACATATTAGATGTTGTTAGTGAAGATGAGGTCCAGTGCATTTTCTAGTCTGTAGGCTCTATTATTTGCTGGTTTAAGGTGAATTTGGTGCAGAGATTTAATAGCTGGGGTGATCTCTGATAAAACATTATTTGCTACAATCTTCCATTTTAGGTTTCTCAAGTTGAAATCCCCCAGTAGCAAGATGTTTGGGGCAGGAGTTAGATTTTCTAGACAGTGGACAATTTTCAGAACCTGTTCCTGAAACTGCTGGGAAGTGGAATCCGGAGGATTGTATTCAACCACAATGACAAGCTTTTGGTTTTCGATCTTTACTTCCTAAAATTCAAGTACATCATTTGAGGTGTTTAATAGTTCTTAGCAAATGAGCGACTCTGTGACGTACAAGCCAACTCTTCCTTGTTGCCTGTTTAGTCTGTTGCGTCTGAATAGGTTATAACCTGAGATCTATATTCCATTGTCAAAATGATCTTTTATGTGGGTCTTTGTGAAAGCCACAAACACTGCATTTGACTCCGTGAGCAGTCCCTCATATTGATGGAATTTAGGAGGGCTTTTTTGCTGACATTTGATAAGTTCAGATTTAGACAGGATATAGGAAAGTATTGGGTAGTATAGGGTAGTCGACAAATGGAACAATCTGCCTAGAAAAGTTATTGAAGCTAAAACCTTGGGTAATTTAAAATTTATGTTGGATAAATACGTGAGTGAGAGGGGTTGATTTAAATGGGACTTACACACAAGTTAAATGTTTTGCCAAAGCTTATTGCTTAGAAAATGGGTTGGGCAAACCTTTTTTGTTAGTGGGTTGGATTTGATATGGATCTGCTAAGTATGGTGTAATAGGCCTGTTGCAGTGATCCTGCTTTCTTATGTTCTTATGTAATCAGGTCCTCACTCCTATGTCTGCTAACATAATTGCCTCCCGCACTGACACAGCAGGATTGCTCCCATTACCTCTCATAATGATGTCTAGACGGCAGACAATATCCTCCATCCCAGTTCCAGGAAAACATACCCTCTGGGACCTTTCCCTCTCTCTAAGACACAACGCCTTTTCCATAGACATTACATAACTAATATAATGTTCTTACCTTTACTGGAGGAGCTTGTCGTGACGTTCTCGACATCTTATGCACACGTTCTCGACGGTCTTCGTTGGCATGGTCTTCGCTGGGATGATCTTCGCTGGGATGATCTTCGCTGGGATGGTCTTAGCTAGGGCGTCTGGGGTCATCAACTCACACTCGTCTGCCAATGCTGAGACGGTATTTCTGGTCATCACAGTAGTGTCCTGGACCTTCCTTAGCTTTAGTTTCGTTCATTCCGTTCCATCCAGCATCCAATCATTAGTTCGATTATTGATACATCTGTTCTCGACGAAGTTGTTCCGGGAATAATCCTAACACATACCTTTCAGTCGTTGAATCTCTCTTCTAGCTCCATTAACTCTTACTTAAGCTGAAGATATAGTTGCTTGTAGTCAAGGGAAGCCATCATTACAGTCTCAGTACGCTGAGAACAGAGAGCACACTAGACACGTGTTTACATTGCGTAAGTTTAGATTTAGAAAGGATATAGGAAGGTATTGGTTTCAAAATAGGGTAGTCGATGAGTGGAGCAGTTTGCTAGTAGGGTTATTGAAGCTAAAACCTTGGGTAGTTTCAAATTTATATTATATAAAGGGTATAAATCTTGGTAATAAATATCGACAAGTTGCTTTTGAAAAACACGTAAGCGAAAACTTGGACATAATTATTAGAAAACGTCTCGGTCCTGGGACCTCGATCACTTCTAACATACAGAGGTTGAAAGACTATATATAGGCGGAGAGTGAGGTGTGAGTGGCGCATGGTGACCTGAAGAATGCCATGTTGGGGTGAGGACGGGTAGACGATGAGATCATGTGACTCCTGTGTTGCTGGGTAGGTGGTGCCCAGCCTGGTTGAGTATCATGTATGTAAATGTTTTTGAAATTTTGTGGTTTCCAGTGTTACGTTCTGTTATGTCTGTGACGGCGATTAGCGAGGCTTCTGGACACCGTCGGCATCTAAGGTCTGGTTCAGTGAGAACGAGTTATGCCTCACTCCAGTTCATCAAATGCCCCGGGGAGTCTCTGTGGAGGACACAGGCGTACTTAAAATCGTGTCTGTTACTGGCATTTTGATGCTCGTTCAGGACAAAGACAAGTATTGGTTTTCAAACAGCGTTGACGATGCGTGGAACAATCTTCCGAGTAGGGTGATAGAGGCTAAGACCTTGGGAGGTTTTAAAAGGAGACTGGACTAATATATGAGTGGTGGGGGTTGGGTTTGATTGGTCCAAAACGTTGGACAAACATATGAGTGGTTTCAGTAAGGACCTGTCTTGTATGGGCCAGTAGGCTTCCTGAACTGTTCCTCCATTATGTTCTTAAAAGGGCTTAGGAAAATATTTTTGTTAGTGGGTTTGGTTTGAGAACATGCATAGTATGAGCCAGTAGGCCTGCTGCAGTGTTCCTTCATATTTATCATGTTACTGAGTAATGCTAAAAGAGTTCTTATCTTACCCCACAGTCCGTCCCCCCCAGCATGAGGCTCAGTACTGCCTCCCAGCATGAGGCTCAGTACTGCCTCCCAGCATGAGCCTCAGAACTGCCTTCCAGCATGAGCCTCAGTACTGCCTCCCAGCATGAGGCTCAGTACTGCCTCCCAGCATGAGGCTCAGTACTGCCTCCCAGCATGAAGCTCAGTACTGCCTCCCAGCATGAGCCTCAGAACTGCCTTCCAGCATGAGCCTCAGTACTGCCTCCCAGCATGAGGCTCAATACTGCCTCCCAGCATGAGGCTCAGTACTGCCTCCCAGCATGAAGCTCAGTACTGCCTCCCAGCATGAGGCTCAGTACTGCCTCCCAGCATGAGGCTCAGTACTGCCTCCCAGCATGAGGCTCAGTACTGCCTCCCAGCATGAGGCTCAGTACTGCCTCCCAGCATGAGGCTCAGTACTGCCTCCGAGCATGAGGCTCAGTACTGCCTCCCAGCATGAGGCTCAGTACTGCCTCCCAGCATGAGGCTCAGTACTGCCTCCCAGCATGAGGCTCAGTACTGCCTCCCAGCATGAGGCTCAGTACTGCCTCCCAGCATAGGGCTCAGTACTGCCTCCGAGCATGAGGCTCAGTACTGCCTCCCAGCATGAGGCTCAGTACTGCCTCCCAGCATGAGGCTCAGTACAGCCTCCCAGCATGAGGCTCAGTACTGCCTCCCAGCATGAGGCTCAGTACTGCCTCCCAGCATGAGGCTCAGTGCTGCCTCCCAGCATGAGGCTCAGTACTGCCTCCCAGCATGAGGCTCAGTACTGCCTCCCAGCATGAGGCTCAGTACTGCCTCCCAGCATGAGGCTCAGTACTGCCTCCCAGCATGAGGCTCAGTACTGCCTCCCAGCATGAGGCTCAGTACTGCCTCCCAGCATGAGGCTCAGTACTGCCTCCCAGCATGAGGCTCAGTACTGCCTCCCAGCATGAGGCTCAGTACTGCCTCCCAGCATGAGGCTCAGTACTGCCTCCGAGCATGAGGCTCAGTACTGCCTCCCAGCAAGAGGCTCAGTACTGCCTCCCAGCATGAGGCTCAGTACTGCCTCCCAGCATGAGGCTCAGTACTGCCCCCGCATGAGGCTCAGACTGCCTCCCAGCATGAGGCTCAGTACTGCCTCCCAGCATGAGGCTCGGGACTGCCTCCCAGCATGAGGCTCGTACTGCCTCCCAGCATGAGGCTCAGTACTGCCTCCCAGCATGAGGCTCAGTACTGCCTCCCAGCATGAGGCTCAGTACTGCCTCCCAGCATGAGGCTCAGTACTGCCTCCCAGCATGAGGCTCAGTACTGCCTCCCAGCATGAGGCTCAGTACTGCCTCCCAGCATGAGGCTCAGTATCTGCCTCCCAGCATGAGGCCAATACTGCCTCCCAGCATGAGGCTCAGTACTGCCTCCCAGCATGAGGCTCAGTACTGCCTCCCGAGCATGAGGCTCAGTACTGCCTCCCGAGCATGGTAGATGCTCCAGATGGGACTACTGCCTCCCAGCATGAGGCTCAGTACTGCCTCCCAGCATGAGGCTCAGTACTGCCTCCCAGCATGGGCTCAGTACTGCCTCCCAGCATGAGGCTCAGTACTGCCTCCCAGCATGGGCTCAGTACTGCCTCCCGAGCATGAGGCTCAGTACTGCCTCCCAGCATGAGGCTCAGTACTGCCTCCCAGCATGAGGCTCAGTACAGCCTCCCAGCATGAGGCTCAGTGCTGCCTCCCAGCATGAGGCTCAGTACTGCCTCCCAGCATGAGGCTCAGTGCTGCCTCCCAGCATGAGGCTCAGTACTGCCTCCCAGCATGAGGCTCAGTACTGCCTCCCAGCATGAGGCTCAGTACTGCCTCCCAGCATGAGGCTCAGTACTGCCTCCCAGCATGAGGCTCAGTACTGCCTCCCAGCATGAGGCTCAGTACTGCCTCCCAGCATGAGGCTCAGTACTGCCTCCCAGCATGAGGCTCAGTACTGCCTCCAGCATGAGGCTCAGTACTGCCTCCCAGCATGAGGCTCAGTACTGCCTCCAGCATGAGGCTCAGTACTGCCTCCCAGCAAGAGGCTCAGTACTGCCTCCCAGCATGAGGCTCAGTACTGCCTCCCAGCATGAGGCTCAGTACTGCCTCCCAGCATGAGGCTCAGTACTGCCTCCCAGCATGAGGCTCAGTACTGCCTCCCAGCATGAGGCTCAGGGACTGCCTCCCAGCATGAGGCTCAGTACTGCCTCCCAGCATGAGGCTCAGTACTGCCTCCGAGCATGAGGCTCAGTACTGCCTCCCAGCAAGAGGCTCAGTACTGCCTCCGAGCATGAGGCTCAGTACTGCCTCCCAGCAAGAGGCTCAGTACTGCCTCCCAGCATGAGGCTCAGTACTGCCTCCCAGCATGAGGCTCATAACTGCCTCCCAGCATGAGGCTCAGGGACTGCCTCCCAGCATGAGCTCAGTACTGCCTCCCAGCATGAGGCTCAGTACTGCCTCCCAGCATGAGGCTCAGTACTGCCTCCCAGCATGAGGCTCAGTACTGCCTCCCAGCATGAGGCTCAGGGACTGCCTCCCAGCATGAGGCTCAGTACTGCCTCCCAGCATGAGGCTCAGGTACTGCCTCCCAGCATGAGGCTCAGTAAATGCCTCCCAGCATGAGGCTCAGTACTGCCTCCCAGCATGAGGCTCAGTACTGCCTCCCAGCATGAAGGGTCAATACTGCCTCCCAGCATGAGGCTCAGTACTGCCTCCCAGCATGAGGCTCAGTACTGCCTCCCAGCATGAGGCTCAGTACTGCCTCCCAGCATGAGGCTCATACTGCCTCCACTAGGCTCAGTACTGCCTCCAGCATGAGGTTCTGTACTGCCTCCCAGCATGAGGCTCAGTACTGCCTCCAGCATGAGGCTCAGTACTGCCTCCCAGCATGAGGCTCAGTACTGCCTCCCCCGATGCCCCCAAAGAGGCTCAGTACTGCCTCCCAGCATGAGGCTCAGTACTGCCTCCCAGCATGAGGTTCAGTACTGCCTCCCAGCATGAGGCTCAGTGACCATCGGTGTTAGATATATTTTTCTAGATGTCTCCCTAATACTTCTAATAAAACATATATTTTGATGTTCGTTATTTTTTCTGACCTATCAATATACTTTCTGTTTGTAATAAAATTTTAATTACGTACAGTAGGTATATATATATATATATATATATATATAGGTAGTAGGTTGGTAGACAGCAACCACCCAGGGAAGTACTACCGTCCTGCCAGATGACTGTGAAACAAAAACCTGTAACTGTTTTGCATGATGGTAGGATTGCGGGTTTTTTTTTTCTGTTCAAAAACACGCTAAGAAAAAAGGGGATATCGGGGTACTTTTACTTACACTTTGCAAAACTTCACAGACACGCACAGGGGAAATATAAAATATATAACATACATCTGGGTTTTTCTCCTTTTTCTAAATAGCTCTTGTTTTTTTTTTTTTATTTCTTTATTGTCCTTTGGGAAGTGGGAAAAAGAAATTTTTCCCTTCCGTAACCCTTGGTGTCGTATGGGGCCCGACAAAAAATGCCGGGAGAAAATGGGCTAGAAAACCCCTTCTCCTGTATCTTTTAACTAAAAAAAAAGAAGAAAAAAACTTTTAAAAAAAGGGTTGTTTAAAAATGTGCTTGGATGTAGTGCGGATGAAAAGAAAGATGATTCCCTGATTTTTTGAATGAAAAGAATTTGGGGATGCCCGGCCCCTAACCCGAAACAAAGTTTAAAGGGGGAGGTGGGGGTTTTCGTGGGGGGAAAAAATGGGTTTAAATCTGGAGTATCTGAGAGAGTTGAGCAAAGGAAAAAGGGGTAGCAGAATTTTAAAAAAGATCAGTTATGGAAGGGGGAAAAGAAAAATTTATAAATTGTGAAAATTTTAAAGGAATTTTGTGGTTAAAGTAAAGGTTGGTGCGAGAAGTGGGTTTTTAATAAGCGTGTATGCATTTGGAGAAGAGAGGAATGCAGAGGGAGAGAGAGGTTTTTGGGGGAGATTTTAAAGTGAATGTTTTGGGGCCTTTAAACCCCAAGTAAAGGAAGGAAATTTGTGGTGGGGGGACCTAAATGCTAAATTATGGGGGGAGAAAACTTTTAAAGGGGGTGTGGAAGGTAATTTTTGGGGTCCCAAAGGTGTAAATGATAATGGGAGCCCTTTGATTGAATTTTGTTTTTAAAAGGGGTTTATTTTATAGGTAATACATATTTTAAGAAAAAAGGATAAATAAGTATCCCACTAGGTTTTGGGGGGCGAAAATGACAGTAGTTTGTTGGATTATGTATTGGTAAAAAAAAGGGAATGTTTTGAGGGAGACTTCAGGAAAGTACATGGTTTTTGAGGGGGCCAAAAGATATATCAGATCACTTTCTAGGTTTTACTACACTGAGATAAAAGGTAGATGGGGTACAAGGGGAATAGAACATCAGGGGAAAAGAGAGGTGAAAAGGTTTTTAAAATTAAAAAAGGGGCAGTTAGGGTAAGATTTTTAAAAAGCTATTGGAGGAAAAAAGGGCTAATGAGAGCATAGGCAATGGGGTTGAAGGGGGTAAAAGGGGGGGGTTTAAAAAATGTAGTGTTTGGGGTGTTCAGCGAAAGGGTTTTTGGTTACAGGAAAGTGGGTTTCAGGGGGGGAAAAGGGGGCGATTGGTGGAATGATGATGTAAAGAGAGTATAAAAGGGGGGAAAAAGTTAGCATTGGAGGAAAATTTTTTCAAAGTAGAAGTATTTCAAAGGGGGGGAAGAGAAAATGGGGAAAAAAGAGAGAGGTTAAAGGGGTGGTGAAGCAATGTAAAAAGAGAGCAAATGGAGGTGGGTGAGAAAGTTACAAAAAAAAATTTTTTTTTTAAAAAAAGAAAAAGTTTTGGGGGTGAGATTAAAAAGTTAAAAAGCCAAAAGAAAAATTTGGGTTTGGGCAAATTAAAAAAAAGGGGAGGAGAGTTATTAAATGGGGTGTTTGGGGTTTTGGGAAGATGGAGGAATATTTTGAGAATTGTTAAATGTTGATGAAGATAGGAAGCTGTGATTTCGTGTATAGGGCAAGGAGGAATAACATCTTGTAGGAGTGAGGAAGAGCCAGTTGTGAGTGTGGGGAAGTTCGTAGGCAGTAGGTAAAATTGAAAGGGGGTAAGGCAGCCGGGATTGATGGATAAAGATAGAAATTTTAAAAGCAGGTGGGGATTAGTTTTGGATTGTTGGTGCAATTATTATAATAAATGTATGGAAGAGGGTAAGGTACCTAGGGATTGGCAGAGAGCTGCATAGTTCCTTTGTATAAAGGCAAAGGGATAAAAGAGAGTGCAAAAATTATAGGGGGATAAGTCGTTGATGTACCTGG